GAAGCTGAAAAGTCCTTGACTAGTGTAAGCACTGCTCAGCAACAACTAAAACATTGGTGTGTTATCAACATTATTCTCATCCCAAATCCAAAACACAGCACTGTACCAGCTACTAGGAAGAAAATTAACTCTATCCCAGCCAAAACCAGGACAATGACTCAAAATAATTGCTTTAATTTATTTATATTGTTTTAAACCTCAAAAATTTAGTCCTGACCTGCGAAAATGACTTCTCAACCTTTTTTCAATTTACAAAAAAGTGTTCAACCTGTAGCATTTTTAAAACTGCCACAAATTTGTATGCCAGGTATTTACATAACCCTGCTGATGAATCACAAGGAATCTAAAGAAAAGTCTATAGAGATGTATTCTCATACTCACTTCTAAAACACTATTAAAAAAGCAACATTGCAGTATAGCAATACTAGCTCTTATTTAATTGAAAATGCAGCTTCTCCCTCTAGATTAGCTTCTCCCTCGAGATTTCTTCCTTTGTGGGCTGTCACACAATAGAATGCAAGTATGTTCCATGTGAACAAATTTGACTGAATATGGTTGTTTTTAACTAGCATGGGTTTTTTAGCTGTCCCCAGCTTTGCAAAGTGGAATGTCATCTGCTCATATCAAACACTTCTAAATCAAATCCCCAGGCTCTGCCATGCTTTATTATGGGACTTTCAGGTTTAGCTACAAGCTTGGCATCTAAAATTGTATGTAATCTTATCATACATGCTAAACTGGCAGCCTGTTTTCCCAGGTGAAGTCCTGGCATCTCCTAAGCAATTGAAAAATAAAGTCACTGGAAATGAAAAGCAAAAAAAAAACACCCAGGAATGTATTTTTTATTCTTGTTGGATTCTTTTCAACAAGTTCTAAGGAAAAGAGTGGAATGTTTCACTAAATTGGAATGACAAAGTCTGATATTTACAGTTTCTTATATGTGTTAATGTAATAGTTACAAAAGCAAAGAAAATGTCCTCTTTGCCAAAAAAAAAATGCCTACATTTGCTACTGTGAGGGCTTTTACTCACGAACTCTGTGACTTATGAAAGGGATCGCTGCACATTTGGCACATTTATCTGTATAGGAATGAAGGGTAGATAAAAGCAATTGGAGGTAGAACATCCTGTTTCCTCTCTTTTCTAACAAGATTCATACATTATTAAAGACTGCAATAATTCCTGATAAAAGCAGCTGATATCATTCGATATTGAAGCCATATAGTTCCATTTTAAATCTGTCAGAAGAAAAGAAAACAACATTTTGTCTTTCATCAAAGTTGTAGTAAATGTTGCTTAAGTAAAGCTCAACTCCCAGTTGATGAGATATCAGGAAAAGTGGAATTTTTCAATAAATGAAAAGACCACATCTAAACTTAATTGTTTCTTCTACACGCTTAAAAATTACTTCCAAATCCCAATATTTCTTCTGCTTGCAGTAAAAATGCCTGCACATCCCTTTGGGTTTAAAATCTCATGAGGCCAAGTGGTCTGTTGCCCCTACTGCCTTCAGTTTCCCCCTGTATAAATACTCACGAGTAGAAACCTTGAAACTGTGTTTCACTAACTTCAGCTTAGCAAATGGTCCCTGAAGTGGAAGGTAATGGGAACTGCATGTTGAGAACTGTATTTCAATAACGAAGAGAAAAGTCAGGTTTTACCAGGAGGTGGTGCTTTTGTACAAAACATCCTGCAGATGCAAGTGATCTCATTTCTCCCATAGAGATAAAGCGCATTCTCAGTATTCACTCTCCTCCCTGCCTGTTTCAGCTTTCCTCTGCCACTACCTGCCCACATAAATTCACAGAAAATGAATTTAGAATAGTTATAAAGCTTGCCTTTGAAAAAGTTTTAGCGTGGCAGTTTCTCGTGATGCTAGGAGCATCCTTTGAGCTGGGCTCTCCTGCAGGCACACAGTACAATCCTCTGACATCTTCCACTACTCTTCAGCTTCTCTTTGGTAGTTTATTCAAAAGCATTCTTAGATTTAAACCATAAAATCATATCTAAATCCTTGCCTGCCTGTGGTATTTTATTAATGTCAATCCTAGGACCAGTAATTTCAACTCTATTCTGAAATGTATAAAATGTACCTGGCCCAAATTTTTGTTTCTGTTTTGCATCTGAAGTCACATGTCAAAATGAACAGCAATAAAAATAGTTGGGTGCATTCAAACTAATTGGATTAATCCCAGCAGAAAGTCCATGCCTCCCCTGTCTCAGCCGGTGCATACACACACACAAGCATTAGTTATAAAGAAACCTGCAGGTGCTTCCAACAGTGCAAAGGCTCGCCTTCCAAAATTTGTTGTGACACTTGAGTCAAAAAAAGGAGAGAGAGAGGTTGAAAGCGAGACCTCCTTTCAAACCGAGGGCATGTCCCGCTCAAGCCGCCCACGTTTGTTGTGATGCTTTCATCTCTTTGAATTTGTGAATTCTGCCCAGAAGACAGTCCTCGTGCTCTCTGCATGCGCTGGTCCTGCGCGAGCCTTTACACTGGTGTTTTGTGTGAGTGTTTGTGCATATCTGGGGGCTCCATGCCTCCTCCGTCTGTAACTGGGTTTCCTTTCCTCCTACAGAGCTTGCACTAGCACTCATTTATCTCAGAGTACAAATCTCTCCCTGCCTTCTACTCAAAGCCTCAACATCAAGTCAGAACCTGTTTCTCCTCCTAGAGACCGTACCACCACACCCTCGAGATACCCACAGCACACGCGCCATGAGGCGGGGAGATCTCCTGTTGACAGTTTGAGCAGCTGTAGCAGTTCCTACGATGGAAGTGACCGAGAAGATCACCGGAACGAATTCCACTCCCCCATTGGACTCACCAGACCTTCGCCGGACGAAAGGGAAAGTCCCTCTGTCAAGCGCATGCGGCTCTCTGAAGGATGGGCGACATGATAACATTATTACCTATTAGTTTTTTTTCTTGCAGTGTGTGTGTGCTATACCTTAATGGGGGAGGGGGGGTCGATATGCATTATATGTGCCGTGTGTGGAAAAAAAAAAAAGTCAGGTACTCTGTTTTGTAAAAGTACTTTTAAATTGCCTCAGTGATACAGTATAAGGATAAACAGAAATGCTGAGATAAGCTTAGCACTTGAGTTGTACAACAGAACACTTGTACAAAATAGATTTTAAGGCTAACTTCTTTTCACTGTTGTGCTCCCTTGCAAAATGTATGTTACAATAGATAGTGTCATGTTGCAGGTTCAACGTTATTTACATGTAAATAGACAAAAGGAAAACATTTGCCAGAAATGGCAGATCTTTACTGAGAGAGAAAGCAGCTGTTATGCAACATATAGAAAATGTACAGATGTTTTGACAGACCCAGCGGTTGGGTGGCCATGAATTGATGCTAGAAAGAGACTGGGTCACCTAACATACCAAAAACGCTCACAAACATGCAGGCATATCATTAGAGTATGGCACTCAGTTAAAAAGGATCAAAACATTTAAAGAGGACCATACTTGTAAAAATGTTGAGTTCGAGGGCTAACATATTTAATTTTAAAAATTCTGGGTCTGCATCACTTATTAAATAAAAAAAAATATAAAAATATGTACATTACATTTTGCTTATTTTCATATTAAAAAGTAAGACAGAGTTTGCAAAGCATTTGTGGCTTTTGTAGTTTCCTTAAGCCAAAATGTGTTCTTTTTTTCCTTGATAGCTTCGCTAATCTTTTAAACAGTCCTGAAGAAACAAACAAAAAGGACTTTTTGTATAGAAAGCACTACCCTAAGCCATGAAGAACTCCATGCTTTGCTAACCAAGATAACTGTTTTCTCTTTGCAGAAGTTTTGTTATTGAAATGTGTATTTCTAATTATATAAAATATTAAGAATCTTTTAAAAAAATCTGTGAAATTAACATGCTTGTGTATAGCTTTCTAATATATATAATAATTATGGTAATAGCAAAAGTTTTTGTTATCTTAATAGTGGGGAATTATATTTGTGCACTTGCACATTTAACTATTTTCTTTCAGTTTTCTTTTGCTGGGTATACATTTTCCAGATCGAAGTCAGCTGTTGAAAGACTGATCTGTAAAAAGTTAGAATTTACCCATGGTGTAACAACGTAATCATTTTAATACAGCATTTTACAATCAGTTGGGTGAACTGCGATCCATTGTATATACTGATTAGTTCTTTCATGCTGTTTTGTGCATTGTAACAAGTTAAGGGCCCTTCTATTACTTAACGTCCTGCGTATCTTGTAGTTTTCTATGGGTTAAATGACAAAGTGGCATAACTTGGCCCTTTCTCATTAATGAAGCTGGTATTCTGCCTGTCAGAATTGGATGTACAGCTCTAACGGCTGTCAGTTACGTGAGTGCAGGTGAATATTTGCAGAAGCAGTAGGGAGAGTTAAAGGGAGGGATCGGCATGAACATGCCTATTATAAAGATTACTCCCCTCTCTCACATATTTAAAACTCTTAGAGACATCGTCAGCTAAAGGACCATTCAAAAGTCGATTGATCTTACACAGCGGATACTGGCCGTCAGGTCCCTGGTTCGCGTGGACCTCTGTGGTCACGTCATCTCACAGTGGGCACGTTGTTGAACAACGCTCCCTGTATATTTGCACCCTAGCGAGATTTGCTTCAGCACATGGCATCCACATTTTCTCCTGCCTCATATTGTTCCTTTGACTACAATAGCTTGACCAGAGGGAATGTATCATTTCTTTAAGTCCCTCTTTGTCCCTCTAGTTTATTAGAAGAAAATGGTATATTCAAATGTTTCAGTTTAACCTTTCTGTTGAAGGGAAAAAGTGTTTAAGCAAAATGTTAGTGCCATAGTAAAACTGTGATGTTTTTCCTTTTTCCAAGAGTCCTTCCAACTCTCACCTACATACATTGACACTATGATAAAGGGTATAGCTGCGACAGCTAAATATCAACACAGAATATTTTGTTAAGGGAAATCCACACTCTATTTCCCACCTGTACATGCAGTTGCTGTGCACTGCTCAATGATAGAGTGTACCTCTCTGTAGTAGAGAATGATGAACAGACTACAGTGTGCATTAGGACATACGCTTTTCGCTTATCATGACTTTATAGAAGCCTGCCTTACAGGCACTCTCAGCCGTGCAGGGGCTAGTGCATAATCTGGAAACTCTTTAAGCAGAATACTGTGCTACTAATGCATCCATCTTATCTTGTGTAGCAATCTGCAGGGTAAAGAACTCTGTAGTAGAGAATGATGAACAGACTACAGTGTGCATTAGGACATACGCTTTTCGCTTATCATGACTTTATAGAAGCCTGCCTTACAGGCACTCTCAGCCGTGCAGGGGCTAGTGCATAATCTGGAAACTCTTTAAGCAGAATACTGTGCTACTAATGCATCCATCTTATCTTGTGTAGCAATCTGCAGGGTAAAGAAAAAGATACGCATGTTTGAAAAAAAAAAAACAAAAAACAAAAAAAACAACAAAAAAATCAAAACAAAAAAAAAAAGTAAAAAAAAAAAAGGTAAAATGGGGCCCATAATTAATTTTAAAACACAAAAAAACTGTTTTTGAAACCACTTTCTTCACCTTCAGATGAACCTATACTCGTATTCTCTTCTGAGAATTTTAAACTTTGGTGTGTCAAAAATATGCAAATATATCACAAATGTACCTTGTCATTTCAAGAAAAAATACAACTTTATCAGTATTGTAGTAGAAACTTGTCAGTGGGGAAGGGGATTTGGTCTATTGATATATGAAGAATAGCCATATTAATAGTTTACCTTGCGATTTGCCTCAGCAACGCATGAAAAAGGAAAGATATCGTATTTAACGAAGATGCAGTGTAATATATTACTGCAAGTAACTAAGCAGAAAGTAGCGTGAAAAGTATTGCCTGGGCAATTTATATTAACTCTGACAGTGATTTTTGTATAAACACAAGTAGAACAGAATCACGTGAAAATAAATGCCAGTCACCCCTCTTGTTCCTGCTACAGAGGGCAACTAACTTATACTGGCAAAATTGTGGGGGATAATGCATATTTGCAAACTGATCTAATGATAAGAAGCACAACTTTGATTGTGAAGTCACTTTCTGTAAACTATAACTGTCTACCTTTCTTGTTCCTTTATCTGTACCTTACCATTTATTGTATTTGCAAAGCTAATTTGGGTTTATTGTGTGATTCCTTTGTATTTAAGGAGTTTGGGGCAGAGCCCTGAAAGAGTATTAACATTTACTTTACCTTAACCCATGCTATATAATGTTTTAGGCAACATTCTTAATTGTAAGTTCAAACACCTGAAGTGGCATTCTAGACATCTGCAAGTATTGTTATAGCTAAGCTAACCTCTATTAAAAGGTGTTGTCAGTTAGTGTTTAATTGCTGGTGACAATTATATGATATACCCTATCTGCACAACCTGTATATTGTATGCATTGAGCCATTCGCAGTGAAGCTTTTGTCATTTCAGTGTTTTTCAAAAGTTGTGTTTTATAACAAAATGGCTTATATTTTTCCCAGAAGAGGAATTTAGCAGTTTTTAATGAATAATATAAAAATATCTGTTGTCCTCAGATCTTTTTCAGGTAAAGCTAGCGTAAGAATAAAAGAACTCATAGACTGTTTTCAAGGATGTCAACCCTTTTGTATTGTATGTGTTATCCTATATACCCTCTTTTATCTATAGTCCTAACAGAGCTGTTTTGTTTTCCTTCTTCCTTTGCCTTGAAGGTAAATGCTTTGTAATTTTTTAAAAGCCACTTGAAACCTCAATAAAGGCTGTTGCCTAAACATGGCATACTTCATCTGTTCCTGTTTGTGCCATCTGCTGTGATGTCGTCAGTTATATGGCATTAATTTCCTGCCACTACAGGTCTCTTGAAGGACTGATGGAACATTGGTGTCTGTTAGAATGCTTCAGACTGTAGATGTAATAAAAGGCTTTTGTTAATATATTTTAACCAAAGATGTGGAGCAATCCAAGCTTTGAGCCACAGACCTTCTGCATCAAAAGTATCTGTTTGATTATTTTCATAATCAGGTGTTGCATTTCTACCTTCCCTGCTCATACCTCAGACTGATCCGTACCTCAGTTTGACTCAAAAAAGGTCAGTTAAGTAACTCATTAAAAAAAAAAAATAAAAAATGCAGTACCAGAGTCTTTTGTGGAGTAACTAATATCAGACCTGGGTTACCGCAGGCATTACACTTGGATTGCTTCAGATGGTTTGTTGTATCCTTTTTTTCTTTTTTTTCTTCTCTTTCATGGGGATTTGCTTCCATAAAACAATGGTGATAACAAAATAGCTTGTAAATGGGAGCATACAAGCATTTGCAACAAATATTAAAGTAGAGGCTCACAGCGGCATAAGCTGGACTTTGTCGCCACTAGATGACAAGATGTTATAACTAAGTTAAACCACATCTGTGTATCTCAAGGGACTTAATTCAGCTGTCTGTAGTGAACAAAAATGGGAAAATTTCAAAAGATTCTCCTGCTGGAAATAAGGTATAATTTGTATTTTGCAGACAAATCAGTAAAGTTACTGGCTTTCTTAGTGATACGGTGTCCGTGGTGCATTTTTTTTATTAATTTAAATAATGTTCCGTTTTCACTGTTTTGCACTGTAACACATGAAAAAATCAGCACTTTTAACAACCGGCAGTTGCCTCGAGGTCCCTCTGCCTGTCACTTGTGCTTGCTTAGAAAGTCAAGCACCTTTTTATGGTGCCCCGAGCACATCGGTGCCTCACTAAAATTGATGCCCCACCACACATCATGCCACCAAGTTAGAGAAACTCCATTACTGCTCTGGAAGTTAGTGTCATTTTGAATGAGGCCATCTGAATCTGGCCCTGATGTCTGAGCTAGCAGAGGAGCTAGGTGAGAGAATGCTTGGCTTTTAGGTACTTAGTCCCTGACAGGGAATCCAGCTATATCCAGATATATCTAGATTCCTGTATATGCATGCCCTGCAGTTTCTCCCCGTGCAGAAAAACATGCAAAAACCCTACAAAAAAAGCATGTTCTGTGTCAAAGTCATACATTGTTGGGTCTATGCTTTATATATATTCTCTAACGTGATAACTTTGTAGGGAACTGCATCAGAATTAATCTCTTCCTTTTTGTGTACTTTGTTGTTGTTGTTTAATTTTTTTCCCAGCTAACATGTATAGTTTTGGAGTCTAAGAATACAAGGATCACTTTAATTCAACAAGATGTTTTTTCATGCCAGAGGCAGACAAGCTATTAATAACTTAAGGTGCTTGGTGAATGTGGCAATTTCAAAAATAGTACAAGGCCTAGTTTCTAAATATGTTTATGAAAGAAAACAGCTGCACTGTTATTTACCTGTTGCTTTTAATGACAATTTTTTTAAAGAGAAGCATTTCTACTATTGCAGTGTTGGACACAACGTAATAATTAGATGCTAAAACTGAGATTAAATGTCATTGGTTTTATTAGATAATACATTTTTCTCAAGTAAATAACTTTTTGTCCTCATTGGCAAGGATAAGCAAAATATTTCTGGAAATGCAGTCAAAGTGTAATACTCTCTGAAA